CGGGCGCTGCCCTCCGGAGCGGGACCCACCTGAGCAGGCTGGAGAGCGGGTGCCCCCCGCCGCCGCCCCCGGAGCCGCCGCCGCCGCCCCCCGAGCCGAAGCCCGAGCTGAGGCGCTTGCCCGAGAGCAGCTTCTCCACGGCGGGCAGGTTGCCGGTGCGGGCGGCCTCCAGCAGCTCCTGCTCCTTCCCCATGACCCGGCCCCGCCGGCCGGGACCCCGCACTCCCCGGCTACCGGCACCCACGAACCGCCGCCGCCGCCACCTACCCCCCACCTAGCGCCGCCAGCGCCCGCCCCGGCGCGTCCTTCCGGGGCGGGGCCACGCCGATCCCACCCCCCGCAGCGGGAAACTCCGCCCACACAAGGGGAACCGAGAAGGGCTCCCGCCCAGCAGGGGGCGGGACCTGGAGGGGCTCCTCCCCCAGAGAGGGGCGGCTCCAGGAGAGGCTACGCCCACACAATAAGGCGATGAATACTACTACTCGGCGTGGGGCAGGGTCGATGTAACCACGCCCTCGAAGGGGCAGGGCAATACATAACCCCACCCCCGTAGGGGGCTGAGAGATGCTCCCCCTGTAGCGAGAAGCAGGGAATAACCCCAGGTTCAGGGGGAGCATCAGAGTATAAATCCCAACCCAGAGGTGAGATGAAGGGATTGGGAATAATGCCAGGGGGTGGGGGACACATAGGAGAAGTGACATAATATAACCCCAGCCCCCCCAGGAGAAGCAGGAATAATTCCACCCTCCCAGGAAGGGGAAAAAATAGTTAATACTGAGGTCCCACAACAGTGCCCATAATAATGCAGCACCACACACTGATTATCTTCTGCACGGTTAAGGGGGAGCCACGTGCGTTAGAGACCAAGCCAGCAGAGCTCATAAGACTTCACCTTGCAGATATACCACTGCCATTGCTCTGCAGCATCATGTGGTCTTGTTTTACAATCGCACAAAGAGCAACCTGCTGTGTGAAATACACCAGGTCTACTTAGCCTTCCTTCTATGGAAGGGAAAAGGAGCAGTTTACCATGGAGGAGTCTTTCAGGTGAAGCCTCCAAAATCCTGAGGGCCTTTGTAGGTGTGATAATAAATGCATAGGTGCCTGTGAAATTCAGTGTCTAAAAAAGGAAATGTAGCAGATACTAAGCTCAGCCATCCTAACCAAGGATAGCATCCAAAACCCCAATTCTTCTGCAGTAATGACCTTGCCTGGTCCTCAAACCTACATGCCAGAGGTAGTGTCCAATGCATCGCTTTCCTGTCCCAGGGAATGCCTGATCCCCAGACCTCCTGCTTCATGACTGAAAGCTGATACAAGGAGCCCATGATGACATTTGCATACATTAATAAAAAGGGAAGAATAATGATCTGGTTCCATGTCCCATAAGGAATGAAGTTGAAGGAATTAGACTGTTTACCTATCTTCTAAGACAAATGTAAGGCACATCCTCCAGTGGTACATTAACACCTCTGCCTCCTAGCCCACAAGAAGCATCATATATCAAGTATGACCCAAGAATCAAATTAGTATCTTGCATATGTGATATGATTTGGGAGGGCAAAAACCCACCACCAGGGTTGGTGCCTTGTTATCAGTCTTAGCAGCAGAGACCAGAGACTAAGCACCCTTCCAAGCCCACTGGGCACCAGTCCCTTCAACTCAGATTAGAAGGACAGCAGCAAGGTAACATGGGGAAAAAATAGAATTGATGCTGCTCAGACTGTAGCTGCTCTGCATATAAACACAAACCTCCAGGGCAGTCAAGCCAGCACCTTTCACTAGCACTAAAAAAATCGTATCTTTCTTGTTTTAAAGGAACATGCTGCCTCATGTTTTTGAAACATGATATTTCAGCTTCAGTGGAGAATCCTCAAGGCAGGCAGATGTTCTAATTACCTTGTTTTGTGTCATCTCAGCATATCTAGCTCACGGCTGTATGTAAACACCATTAAAACATTTAAGTTTTGTCTACCTACTTTTGGACTTCCCCAGAAGCATGGCGTTTTTCTACTGCTCAACTTATCATATTTTTGCTTGACCACCTTCAATCTGGTGCTCTCAATGCAATTTCCACAAATGAATTAATTCTCACAATCTCCCTGTAAGGTAGGTATTCTTACTCCTATTTTACACTTGGGGAAACTGAGTCAGAAACTAAATGACTTGTCCAAGATCATACAGAGATTAAGACCAAACCTAGTTCTCTTGACTCCTACTCTTATGCTTTAGCTACAACACTATTCATAGTCGATCTCATGGCAAAAAATAGCACTGGAATAGGCCCTGTGGTTTAGCCCTCTGGCACAATCATCAAGAGAGTTCAACAGCTTCTGAGATAGCATAGTCAAAGTCCAACAGAAACCCAAATAATCTTTAGCCCAGCTAGGCTCACTTTTCAGCCCCCTTTCTTTCAGATGAACCTCACCTAAGGCAAACTACATCAACAGGTTCCTGATGACCAATCTAATTTACAGTTTGTGTTAGGCACACCCTTCCATAGGAAGGCTCTAGCAGATCATAATCTTCAATTAATTCCTAATACCAACCACACTTCACACACACACACACCCCTACAAACTTTGTCGGGTGTATGCTGACATAATTTGCATCAATCAAAGTCTGTAGTGGAGACATGGCTTTAGACAATTCTAACGGTATGTCTACACTATGGAAACTATACCAGCATAGCTATGTTTAGATTCAATACAATCCTTCTCCTTCAGTAATTCACGCTGTAATCTTACCTCTGCATTATTCATGCTCTTTTGTATGTGACTTGTAGAAGAATCCTTACATTTAACAAATACAAATCACTAAGGATAAATTAATTCTAAGTCTTTTTTAATAGATTAAGGTAGTTTAAAAGATCCACTGAACTAATGAGGCTAATATCCATCTTAAATCATTCTGGTCCTATCTTTTTCACAATAGCAATGAATGAGAGATGTCATTTGTATTTCATGATAATAGCAGCACACTACCTAGTTGAACGTCTGGTTCAGTCAGAAGCTTTCCCCATGTGAGTGTCATTATGCTGACAAATGTCAGGTATCTGTTTACCAAGTAAAAATCAAGGCTTCTTTCTTGAGAGTGTTAACTCTTTCCTGTTTTACAAAAGGGGAGTCTCTCAGTTGTGTTATGATTATTAGTGAATATTAATCCATAAAGAAAACACTGTTTAAAAATATACTAGGGAAAGATGGTGTGATGGGTTATATGAACCTCACGCTGGCCAGGAGGGGTTAACAAGCTGCAATGACTCCAATCAGTCCCACCCGATTACCTGTGGAATCCAGGGGTCAGATTCCCAGCATGCAATTTTCTCCATCCCATAATACTATCTATAGACAATAATTTTCACATCTTTTTTTAAAATATGCCACAAACCTGTGTGGAACATTTTGGTGTTTGCCATCTCTGACAGAAGCATGGAGCCCAGAAAGCTCTGCACTATTCTCATGAAAGTTGCAAATACAGGATGCATGATTCTCCTGTATTTGTAGACCCTCAGGAAGTACCACAACAACCAGGGACATGAGGATTTCTTTGAGGACAGATTGCTGAGGGACATAGCAAAAAACAATTAAAAGCGCTTGGTGGTGTTCATGAAGCAGTTGCAGACAATGGAGTGCCACTTCTGGGTCTGAGAATCAACACTGAGTGGTGGGATTGCATTGTAATGCAGCTTTGGGGTGAGAAGCAGTGGCTGCAGAACTCTTGTATGCGAAAGGCCTCATTCCTGGATCTGTGTGCCAAGCGCGCTCCATCCCTCTAGCGCAGAGATACCAGAATAAGAGTTTCAGTCAGGATTTCATCGTTTACATCATCCTAGTTCTCTTTCTGGCATACAGAAGAGGGGGTGGTCTCTGAAATGAGGGCTATACAGAAAAGAGAGAGAGAGCGACAGTGTGTGTGTGTGGGGGAGGGTGTACCATAGGAGAATGATGTAATATCTAAGCAGCTGTGGTCCAAAAAATAATAAAATGTCACACATTTAGCACCTTTCAATCAAGGATCTCAAAGCCCTTCACAAACATGAATTAATCCTCACCACAGCCCTGTGAAGAATGTAAATATTACCCATTTTACAGAGGGGCAAACTGAGGCACAAAGAAGTTCAGTGACCTCAAAAGTCACATACTGACCAGAAGCAGAGCTGGAAACAACTCAGGAGTCCTGATTCCCCCATCTCCTGGTCTAACCACTATCCTAATGATCACAGCAGTTTAGTGGGATGGCCAATACAGAAAATTGCTGACTGGGATTTTGCCATCCTGCCTGGCTTCGTTCAACAAAGAAACAAAGTCAGCAGAAAACTTGTTATATTGCCTTAATGAGAAATGTTTTATTTGTAAATTTGTATTAAGGATTATAAAGCCCTGTGATAAGCCTCTACTCCATTGTGCCTAGAAACAGAGGGTGCTTGAGTCACTCACCTCAATGCCCCCCATCTTCTCTCTAACGCCCATATTCCCTACTCCACCCCATGCCCTCCCTACCCCCAATACTCCTCCCCTCCTCCTACCTGTCCCAACCCCCCTACTCCAACCCCCATGCCCTCCCTACTCCCCAATACTCCTCCCCTACTCCTACCTGTCCCAACCCCCATACTCCAACCCCCATGCCCTCCCTACTCCCCAATACTCCCTCCCTTCCCCTATCTGTCCCAACCCCCTTGCTCTCCCTCCCCCCCACCTGTCCCAACATGCCCCACTCCAACCCCCATGTCCTCCCCTCCCCTCCCCATCCCCATCCCAATACCCTACCCCCAAAACTCCCTCCCCTCCCCTACCTGTCCCAACCCCACTACTCCAACCCCCATCCCAGTACCTCCCTACCCACAATACTCCAGTCCAACTCCCCCTGCCCCGCCCACAGACCCCGTCTCCCGAGGGCTGTTGCGTTGCCATGGAGACAGAAATCTCTCGGAAGGGGCGGAGTACGTGCGGCCCCTCCGCGGAGCCGCCGGCGTGATGACATCATCAGAGCGCGCCGTCTCTCCGGCGGCGATGGAGGAAGCCGGGGAGCCCAGTCGCGAAGAGAGCGGGGATTCGGGCTCTACCCAGGAGACTTTTCCGGCTGCCTCATCGCCCCCAGGGCTTGGGGCTGCCCCCACGGCCTCCGAGGAGCCGCCGGCTGCGGCAGAGAAGACCGAGGGGGAGGCGGCCGAGCCCGGCGGGGGCAGCGAGCCCAAAGCGGACTGCCAGGCGGCAGAGGTGCGGGCTGGAGGAAGGGGACGGGGAAAGGGGGCAGAGGTGGGGGAGATAGGAAGGGTGGGGGCAGAGAGAGGAGCACAGGCTGGATGGCAAGTGGAGTGGGGGAGGGGTGGGATTACGGCACTGGCTACCTTGGTTATTTCTAAGGCCCTACCAAACTCACAGCCATGAAAAGCATGTCACAGACTGTGAAATCTGATCTTTTGTAAAAAGCAACAGAGGGTCCTGTGGCACCTTTAAGACTAACAGAAGTATTGTTAGTCTTAAAGGTGCCACAGGACCCTCTGTTGCTTTTTACAGATTCAGACTAACACGGCTACCCCTCTGATACCTGATCTTTTGTGTGCTTTTACCCTATACTATACAGATTTCATGGGGGAGACCAGCGTTTCTCAAATTGGGGGTCCTGACCTAAATTCCCTCTAAGTTGCATGGCCGGGCAGCAGGCTATTAAGGGCCATGCAGCGGGGAGAAGTGCCTCTCCCCTGGCATTGGGCTGCTGTGGTGAGAGAGGGCTGGGGGGCGTCCTCTCTCCCTGCCACAACCCCAGGGCAGCCTGCACCCCAAATCCTTCATCCCTGGCCCCCCCCCCGAGCCCCCCCCCCCCCCCCCCCCGCATCCCAATACTCTGACCCAGCCCTGAGTTCCCTCCCTGCCGCACATCACCTCCATATTAGTGCACATAACAAAATTCACCCTGCACAGGGATGTAAAAAATTAGAGGGGACATTGGTCCTGACCCAAAAAGGAGTTGTGGGGGGTTGTCACACTCCCCCCATTTTAGTGGGGGGTCACAGTATTGCCACCCTTCTGCACTGTCTTCAGAGCTGAGCGGCTGCAGAGCGGTGGCAGTTGGCTGGGCGTCCAGCTCTGAAGACAGCGCCCCACCAACAGCAGCACAGAAGTAAGGGTGGCAATATCATACCCTTGTGCGCTGCTGCCTTCAGAGCTGGGCAGTGAGAGAGTGGCGGCTGCTGACTGAGGGCCCAGCTCTGCAGGCAGCAGCACGGAAGTAAGGGTGGCAATCCCATACCGTGCCATCCTTATTTCTGTGCTGCTGCTGGCAGCAACTCTGCTCCTGGCTCCCCAGTTCTGAAGGCAGCACAGAACTAAGGGTAGCAATACCACAACCCCCCCTACAATAACCTTGTGATCCCCTCCCAACTCCTTTTTGGGGCAGGACCCCTACAATTACAACACTGAAATTTATTTAAATAGCTGAAATCATGACATTTACGATTTTTTTAAAAGCCTATGAATTTTGTAGGGCCCTAGTTATTCCCCCCACCACCCCTGGAAATTTTCCTCCAGCCACTGCTGTGTCCCAGGGGTTCTGCTCCAAAGTGCAGCCAGCTGCTGTGGGCTCATGCCCCTGTGTTGTATTTGTGGGTGCCTTCAAATCGTGAGTTTTTTTGCACAGCTGGTGACATTACTATGATGCTGCTAGCATTATGTGGGTAGGCAGCCCATTCTTTCTCTCTCTCACACCCTGTATGGGTGAGCAGAGGTTGCCCGGAATGGAAGGGTGTAATAAAGTAATTGAGCATTAGGAAAGCCAGGAAATTCAGAGCCAACTTAAAACTGTCAGCCACACAGTCCTCTGATTTGTGTTTATGTTCACATGCTGTTGTAACAAAGCAATAGCAGCCAAAATATGCTTGTAGATTAAAATCTGGATTCTGTTGATTGTATATTTATCATGGTACTCTGTGGATGCTTAATAGGACTGTACACAGACTAACCACCGAGTACCGAAAGCTCTGGTTTGGAACTGAATAACCGAGACCTCACCAAAATGATGGTAATCTCTTGCAGCAGGTGAACAGCCAAGAAGGCTTGGAATTAGTGTCAACAGAAACGGAGGATTCTACATTGCAGACTTCTGCAGCTAAGAAGATAAAAATAGAGATAAAAGAGAAGAAAGAGAAGAAGCAGAAAGTAGATGAAGATGAGATTCAGAAAATGCAGTGAGTACACCTTAAATTTCTAATCTATATGACACCAGGTTTGGTCACCGGACTCTGTCTAATTATTTTATGACAACTTGCTCTTCATCAGACTGAGTTTAGCTTACCCAAGTCACTGCACAGAGCTTGCTGCTGGAAGTAAAAAGTACTATAGCATGTAATATGCACTGTCATTGCTTATTAAGCCTAATACTGGAAACTATTTTGTAACTGGTTTTCTCTGATCTTTGCCTTCATAAAGGAAGATCTGAGTCCCAGTTTGTAAAGCAGAACAGTTAATACTACTTTGCACCCAAACCTGTGCATTAGCTAAGTAGGGCACAACCTACCCCCTCCTTTCAATGCTCTCTTCCTTATGCCTAATAAAATATTTCTTCTAAAGTGGTGCACTGTAGAAACAGACCCTACATGGATTTGGGGAATGCTTTTTAAGGTGAAAAAAGTCTGTCTTCTGTCATAACTGATCTGTTTCTTCCTTCCTCCAGAATATTGGTTTCTTCCTTTTCTGAAGAGCAGCTGAACCGCTATGAGATGTACCGCCGGTCTGCTTTCCCCAAGGCTGCTATTAAACGGGTAAGATTCTGCAAATACTCAGTCCACAGAGGAACATATGAGGTGAAAGAGACAGCTTGGTATGTATAAAAATGAGTGCATAGAGCATCATTGTAGTTTAGATCAATTTGAGTGCACAGATTTTCAATGACAGAAGAGGTATTGAGCAACCTCCACTAATGTTGACTTCAATAGGTGCTGCTCAGCATTTCTCATGCTTAGTCTAAATGTTCAAAACAAAAACCACCAACCCAAGTCTTTAGCTGCAGGGAAATTTTTCACTTAATTATATCCTCTTTTCTCTCAAGCTGGTCCAGTCCATTACTGGGACTTCTGTGTCTCAGAATGTGGTTATTGCCATGTCTGGGATTTCCAAAGTCTTCGCTGGGGAGGTGGTAGAAGAAGGTGAGTGCAAGAGGAATATTTTGTGTGTGTGTGTGTGTGTGTGTGTGTGTGTGTGTGTAGTGCGGGGGGGGGGGAATATTCTAAAAATATATTGTTTAAAGATTATTAAAGGAACGAGGAAAGCTTTTGAAGGGAGATGACATGGTTGTTTCAAGGTAACTAATAACTTAGACCTTTGTCACAGCATCTATACAACGCAAAGAAATTAAGACAGTTTTTACAGCAGTCTTCCTATTATGAACTGGGTGTCTTCAGGGGCAAAAATAGATGCCTCGCGAACCCTGATTCTGCTATCAGGAAGGAATTCAACACAGGGGAGGTGATATTTAACTAGCATAAATCCATTCTTCTGAGGCTTGGTCTCCATTAATTGATGAGCTGAGATCACTATATGAAACACTACATTGAAGGGTGAGCTACTTAAGTAGCTGTTTGGAAATGTTTACAGTACGTTTGAAAGTAGTCTGTTGGTTCAAGCCACCCATTCTGTACAGGCTTGTTATTAAAATACTTGGCCTTTACCTGTAGAAGAGGTATTTTGCTGGAATGATGAACCCTGCTTGTGGCTGTTTCTACAGATTACTTCTGTCATGTGAGAGAATTTGGATAAAAGCAATCTAGTATCTTTATTTGAAATGAGCCTGTATGTGGCAATTGGATTGGGCTGGATGCAGTGATCCAATAGGTCCTTTCCATCTCTACCATATATGTTCATCTCCTGTCTCTAGTGTATTGGTCCCTAATACATGTGCTCCTCAAATTAACTAACCCCTAAATATTTTAACAACTTGTAGTAAAAAGGGGTATTGTCATCCAACAACTTATTTTAAGAAATTAATTTAAGTAATCTCAACTGTTCAATAAAATGTTATTTTACCAGTTAGTGTTTTTATATTCTCCTTCACTCAGCTTGGACAATGAGATCCAGATTAGTCAGTTTCACTCTGATTCTTACATACTGGTAAAATGCTCCTAAGTGTGCATTGCAGACACTGCAAGGAATTCTAGCTTTTTTTGTGGAGTTAAAGTTGATGACCATGTTTATGAATAGTAGAAGCTGCTTATTTAAAGCTGAAATGTTAGCTTTTACTATCTGAAAGCCTCTTTGAGACACTTGCTCAACTGTGTCAACTGTCTTGACAGATAACATTCACTGTTTTTTTGGTTTGTTTAGCATTGGATGTGTGTGAGAAATGGGGAGAACTACCACCTCTTCAGCCCAAACACATGCGTGAGGCAGTCCGGCGGCTGAAGTCACGGGGGCAGATCCCCAATTCAAAGTATAAAAAAATCACCTTCCATTGAAGTGAAAACTAGAGGGCAGTTTAAGAAGCAGGAGATCATGGAGAAGCTGGAAGAGAATAGACTACCAGCTATAAACCACATCACCTCAGAGCTGCTTAAACAGAAAGCTTCCAAACCTCCTGCACTTCTAGTGTCTGCAGTATTAACTAATGAGCCAGTACCAAAACAACCTAATACAGAAGTTTCTTAAAACAAAGCTGAACTGAGTGCATGTGGCCAGTTTCTCAGACTATGAAATGCTTCCGTATACAACTTCTGCAAGATTTGTGGTAGATAAATATGAAAACTTACTGTTGTGGCTAAAGTTTAGAATAACTTTGAAACAGCAGTACAGACAGCAGCCTTGTTCACTTAAGTTTGTATTTTAGTACTAAACTCCTGGAAGGAAAGGCCTCTATATTGTATCATGTGCAGAGGAGTCCTTATTTCAACATGCGCTAACAAACCTCATCAAGTGACTGCTTAAGTTTGGTTCTCTCTTTAAACCTTTCCTAAGCAACTTACCGTAAAAGGTGCTGGTGGTAGAGGGGGGCAATAACTGACTTGGAAATGTTGTTAGGGCCATCAGACTTACAGCTGTGGCTATATGAAACACACCTAAACACTTCAACAGAAAAAGGATAAAAGTCTTTGGTGCAATAGGCTTTTTACTTAGAGAAGATGATGGGGTGGTGGTGGTGATGGCTACTGCTATAACAGGTATATCTATAATCTGTATAGAAAGGGGGATTTGATACAATGAACACTCATTAAACTTGCTAGTCGGTTAAATGGCTTGTGACCTGGATTTGAGTAGTCCCTTCCATTCTCATTGACAGGGCAGATGAAACGTCACTGAGTGTTGTGGTAGCTGACTGTATGGCTTAAACGGGGGGAAATGCTATCTGTTAATCCTTAATGAACACTGAGGGGCTGTAGTGTCTGCCTCTGGATACGTGCAGGCACTACAGTCCATAAGCAGTTAAGGGACTGCTGAAACAATGCCCTAGTAGTGGTATCTTATACGTCTTGGTGATAGTCGCCCACCCTCCCACAACCTTTAGCCTGTCACTTTTCCTGTGTGCTGTTCAACCACATTCTGCACTTACTCAGGACTCAAGAAAACCAGCCTTGGAGAAAGTAGACATTTGACACAGTGGAGGTTAAGTTTAGTTTTTCTTTTTAAGGTGGTTCACAGAACCAAAAAAACGCACTCATGAAAATGTAATACGGCAACATAAGATTTCAATACTGACTAGGTCTTAAATTCAAGTCAGACTCGTACACAGTACTCTGCCTGTACCCAGTATCCCTGTTTGTAAGCAGAGAGGAGTGGTGCCCTCAAACTAACAAGAGTTACGGCAGCCCACATTCATTCCTAATGTAATACTGCAGTTACACAGAGGATTAAGTTAGCTCGTTTAATAGAACATACAACAGTAGAGCAAAGTCTTCAAAAATCAACCTTCCCATAACACTTAAAACAAAGTAATATTTTAATCAACCTCACTATTTCACCCCCTGTTCCAGCTGCTCCCTTCAATCCTCAACAGTGAGGAAGCTTTTATACAAGATGGAGCCCAATGAGGCTCTGATAAGTAGGGTCCCTGTATTGTACCGGAATACAAATAAAGAGAAGCACCCAGTTTTTTTCCTGAACCTAGCTCTAGACTGACTGATCCAAGCTCCTGTGGTCACACTATGGGAAACTAAGTTCCAGCTCTGTTTGGGTTGCAGTGACGGAAGAGAAAGGGAAGTAGCTTGACGCCACTGCAGTTAGATACCCGGGCTGTGCAAAGCCTTCCCCATCACTCCTTTCACAAACTGCTAAAAGACACCGCAGGACATCTTTAAAACAAAGGAAAAAAGTGATTTTCAAGCACAATGTAAGTAAAGCAGTGGGATCAACTTCCCCTCCCTCCCAATAGCACTTGCAGGAGTACCCTTATCTCAACAAGAAGAGATGGAGTGTGCATATAAGCACATAAGTTGGACTAAAGAATGTTAACCTCCATTTATATGAAAGTGACCAACAACTTCACCTTTGAAACAAAAGCTTGGACTTTACACACACACTTCAACATTAGATGTCTTTTACACCTACAATTAGCTGCTGTACATTAGTTTCACAGCAAGTCTGGGTATATATAAATGGATGCACTGCAGCGTTAGTGCCTGTCTTACGAGAAAACTGTTTAGCTTAGCAACAGGGTGATCCTCACAACAGGAGATAATTCTTGCATTTCTACAACCTCCTTTTCTTTATTTTAAAATTATTCTGTGCATGCACAAGGTGAAGGTGGTGAGGAAATACTCAGTTGGTCTACCCCCACACTACTGCTAAAAGTTAAAGTGCATTCTCTTGGTAACACATTCTCTGCCCATAGGATCGAACAAGGGCTGCTGCATTAGAGGATTTTTCAACATAGGGAGTAATGCACATATAGCCTATCGCAAGAGCTGTTCTGAGGAGGCATGGAACAGGAAAGATGCTTTTGAGGAAAAGCAGGAATATTCTAGTATAGAGAGATGATGGACTATCCCCCCCTTTTCCAGGGACAGAAATGAATATATGAAAACTGCAGCAGCCAAACAAGATATAATACACAGTAGCCACCTCAGCTGAATTAGAGGAGGAAAGAGACTGTACCACAACTGCAAAGCCTTCTGGAGTTCCACCACCCTACGTTTGCCTCAGGCTAATGCTCAGATCAGGTTGTTTGTTTAAAACAAATTTCCCTTCAGAAGCAAAATAATTTCTAATTGCTGGCTCCTGGTGCACGCAGTGAAGGTCAGGCTCCTGCTGCTGTTGCCATACCTGTTTTTAGGCATTGGTCAGTTGGACCTTGACAGACAAGCAGATGGCAGAGATACAGTCCTCCATCTTACAGCAGTAAGTCAGTGCTCTTTTTGCCCCTAGGCTACTGTCTCTTCAGTGATACTGGTCAAAGACTACAGCGTGCCATTCAGTTCCATCTTCTGCCTAATGTAGTCAAAAGATTTTGAATTTAAAATTGTCCCAAGAATGACAGCTCTTTGTGTTGGGTTCTGGCATCCTGTCCATCTCCTCTTCTTTCTTCCATACCCTGACTTGAGTGACATCTGAACGGAATTCATGGTTGGCTCTTTCCAAGCCATTGTTCAGTACCCTCTCCAAATCTGTACCATCAAATGAGCACATAAAAACATGCACCCTTCCTCCCTAGAGCTGAAGGGCTTAGACTACAAGTTCCCTACTAAAGAGAAACACCTGATAGATCCAGGATTAGGCAAAAGAACAATTATGCAGGGGAAAAAAGGTTATATTACAAGTCATTTTTTCTTTCTGATCATTCCCCAGACCTTAATTCATCAAGATGGGTGGGGATCATGTGTTTGTTCTAGAGGCACTAGAAAAAGTATTGTGTGCATTACAAATCGTGCGTTAATACAAATATAAAATACATCTGGAGAAATCCAATCCATAAAAAGTTTGAAATGCATTAAAATCCAAGAGAGACTCAGAATGCAATAAAGTGCGGTGGGTGGGCAGTCTTCATTCTGACACTTGTATGGTTCTGTATTAAACTGTGCACCTTACTCTTCCATCCAGCACTATCTTCTATCACGGGTGGATTCTCTCTCTCTCTCTCTGCTGGATTCTAGCATGTTCTGTTTATTCCCTCGTTAGTTAAGGAGGACACACGTGTAGTTGCTTCCTCACCCAGTGCCAAGACTGTGCACTAGCTCAGTCAAGTAAAATGAAGAAATAGCGAACGTATCAGCCTTTAGAAGAGCATTTGCTTCCTACAACATTATAAAGGGCATTTTCATCAATGACTTCTTTTCATGAATTCCCACTTCACCTTCTACTAGGTTTTCTTACCTGTAAAAGCTATTTAATTTTAAATGAAGAAAGTCACACACTGACTTTGGCCACTTCACCTTCAGCACAGAAGCACCTTGGAGAAGGTGAGCACTAAGTCAGCATCTTCCAAGAGTGAACATTACCCAGCTGCTGTTTTCATTGCCTTCAGATAACTAGCAGAGAGCAGCCAAGATAGCCAGAAGCCACTAAGGAAAGGTCTGAGTGTCAGCACCCTGATGAAACATACACCATCACACTTGATTCATCTCTGGCTCAAAATACATGGCTAGGTTGGAATTCGTGTAGTTGTTGCTGTCAGGGCTTTTCCTCCCACATCAGTCTGTGAACCTCTGGCAGATATGTCTGAGTGCAGTACACTAAAACAAAGGGAGATTACAGGCCTTCCCCCTCTCCTACCCCTTGGCCTATACACTCTGCACTCAGCCTGATTCCTCGGTGGTCAGTTCAAGAAAAGGTTAAATAATCTTTCGTTAGGAGAGGCTGAATTTTTCCCACTTCAGCATGGAGAACACAGCTGAACTCAGCCACTGTGGTTTCAGCTAATGAGCGAGAGTCAGTTTTCAAAGTGGCAGCCTTCACACAAAGCTAAAGACAATAGCCAGAGTATATGGACACAGTGTGAGAGGTGGGGTTCAGGGACAGCAGGTGTGAGCAGGGTGCCTTCCTAAATCTAGTACCCCCACGGCTTCGTTTTGTCCTGGACCTGCAAATTGTTGGGTCTCTTCTAGTCCCCTTTTCCACAATGTACTACACTAGACAAGTTGCAGGGGGGACATCTGCAAGTCATGTTCCCTCTCCCCATGGGGAGAAGTTATTTCCATATCTCTCACAGCCAATCACCCCAGCATTTCCATCCCATCTTACTCCACATCGTATGCACTCACTGCAAAACAAACTTCTGCCATGTTTGACTATGCCTTAACTGGGCAAGTTGACATTATTGCTTTTGCCTGTGCTCTTTGGTGAGTGTGTTTGGGCAAGAACACCCAGGAAGATAGTAAAGGAAGTACAGACACCCACCCCACCCACCCCTGTAAAGCAAGATGAACAAGGAAGCAGATGCAATGGTGGTGTGAAAGCAGGCCAGCAACACCATTGTAAGATGACTAGACAGGGGTGCCTGGCTCTTGACTACTGTTCTGCATTTTCTGCTTGCAGACTAAGCACTGCAGTGGTTCAGTGATATAGAGTGTAGCACTGTACTGCCAGGACAGAGGGACATGGCTGCAAAACCAGAACCAGATGGCTCCTTGTTGCTCATTTCCCTTCACCCAGCCAGGGCCTCCTCCCTTTCTACCCCACTTAGAGTTCATCTTGCAATTAGGTTTCCATTCCCCAAGGCGATTCCTCTCTGCTGAGGTTGGCCTCTCAGCAGCAATGTAACAAACTAGCCGCCTGGGTGCTGGTGGTGATCTCTGCTCCTCCTGAGCAGCTGCAGCCTTGGGCCTCTGCTGTCAAAGCTGGAAGAGGGGATCGTATTTCCTAATTTCCTGCAGAAGGCGCGCTATGTCCAGATTGGCTTCTGCTAGGGCTATTTTCATGGCGTGCAGCTCCT